AGTCAGCCATTTAACTTAGTTTATCAAGTTTTTCCAACACATTTCCTTCATCAGAAAGAAAGTGGAAATGAAACGACCAGTCTTCTTGATCACACGTACTTTGTCATCCGGCTACAAGGATCTTGATACCCGATACACTTAGGCTTGCATGAGATGCTAAGAAAATACTTCCACAAACACTAAAAGGCTTGCATGAGATGCTAAGAAAATACTTCCACATACACTTAGGCTTGCATGAGATGCTAATTAATTAGGTTATGAAAAATATAAGGCAATTCCATTATAGAGGACATTAAGGATCCATCATAGCATCTATACCTAGACTGAGCATATATATAAAAAAAAAAAAAGACAAAAGATTACCTTGAGATAATTTTTCTATCAATTACACAAGGATAGAATATAAATAAAACACGTGCATCCAAACATTAAAAAATGTGAATTTTAATGTAAATTTAGCCCATGTTTGTACCCCGTTATTTCAAAACTCTTTTTTTTTATACTCATTTTCAAGAACACATTCACAGTAAAAGATAAAAATGAAATGAAATATAAAACATAGATAAAAATTGCATAAATTATATTGAAATCAGCCATATATTCCTCAATTTTATTTTCATTTTTATGCTGATTTCTTTAATTTCCCTTAAAAGAAACAACTCAACAATCAAAACAGAAACTGCACACACAAACAGACCGGTTTATATAACAGAAGATGTCTTAGTGTATAACACAAATATCATTACAACATAAGTACACAAGCATACAGTTTCATTCACCATAATTATCCTCACTCAACGCGTGAAATTTCGATTTAAGGTAGTACGTTTGTAAGTTCGAAGCAAGAAAATTATTTTTAAGAAATAAAGCCTTTGCTCTTCAAACTGTGGACAGAATCCTTAATAATCTGCTCCATGGGAATAAATTCGAGACCCAAGTCTATCAACTTCTTTGACGCGTTCTTGGCCCTCAATAACCCAGGCTGAGTATCCTTGGGCAACCTACAAAAGTGAAACACAAATATTCTCATTTGAGAATCATTAACAGGAAAGATACTGCAAATATATTGAGAGAGCAAGTCAAGAAAAACAGCATAGATGCAAAATTAAAAAGAAAAAGAAGTAAAAAACAGGCACCATTTTTTTTTGAACGAAGTTTGAAATAGCAACCCACGGCCAAAGAAATGAACATGGGAGTAAACAAGAAAAGAAAATATTCTATTATAATGAAATTGGACTAGTCCATAACCACAATGCAGTCTCTTTTAAGTTTCAAATGTTCTGTACTGTATATTTCACCAACGTTTCACAGTTCAAATCTGTGGGTATTTTGCAAGAGTATGCAACCAGAGCCCCTTACCTTGGAACCTTGTACTCTGGGAAAAGTTCCGCCACCTTAGCAGCAAAATCAGCATAATGAGATATTGCTTCAGCACACAAGTGCCTTCCAGTTGCTGAATTGTTCTCATACACCAATATGTGTGCTAGAGCCACATCTTTAACATGAACAGATCCCATAAAGATATCTTCATATGCGTCAGTGCAACCTTTAACCCAAAGAAAAAATGATAAGTGATCTTAACATTATTCCCAAGCATAAATGGTATAATTCTGCCATGAATGAGTGCAATAGTTTTTATTATTTTTTAGAACCAATTAGCAAAAAGATCAGTGCTTGCTTCTGATTACTTACTTTTGCAAGTAAGATTCTAATCTTGAAACTAAGCATGAAAACAGATGGAGTGTAAAAGGAGTTGTACAAATAGATATCTGTTCTTGTTAATAAATTAAATAACAGTTTATGCTCATCACTCATCTAAATTTAGAATTACCCTGAAGAAGGCGTAGAATCATTTGCATGCTAGCATTTAATGCCGGAGGGATAATTGGGCCCATCACTGTTCCAGGATTTACCACAACTACATCCAATTTCTTTTCCTTGGAAAATTCCCAGGCAGCTTTTTCAGCTAGTGTTTTAGAAAGGGAGTACCATAACTAACATACAGAACAATAAAATTCCATCAACGTATTAATCAGCATAAGATACGGAAAGTAATTATTAGAATAAAAGTATGCACAATAGGTGAAAAGAGAACATTTGTATATCCATTCAGCATTATGTATATCCTTCTTTATTTTTGGTTAATGTATATGCAGAAATAATCAGTAGTCAATTGCCCTACTCGCAGTTGGCTACTTTAAAGAAGGATGATAGCAACTTCTACATTTTTTTCCTTTTCGAGTTCGAAACTTCAACAGAAATAGATATTAGCATATCTCCCAGTGTGTGATCTGCCTCGTGAAACAAGTATAAGCAAAAATCGAATCGAGATTTCTTGAGTTTTCATATACATGCTCCTCATTGACCATACTAGATGTGAGCCTACCAAGCAGTTTTGAAATCAAATTGCAGCCATTCTATCATTTTCTTTTGGATAACATTATATTTATAATTTTGATGCTGACAAAATCTATCTTTTTATATGTATATAAAAGTAATATTATTAATTTATTCTTTTGTGACAGCAAGAGAGAGACAGTACCCCCTTCTGCTTGCAATATTCCTCATCCGTCCAGCACTCCTCATTCTTGACAACATCGGCTGGCCAATTTGGGCTTGGGATGATGGCAGATGTGGATGAGGTCACCACCACACGCCTAACCCCGAGTTCCTTCGCTGCCGTGAGTACATTAATTGTGCCTTTAATTGCTGGTTCCAATAACTCATTCTTCATAAAAAAATTCAAACAAAAATACAGGAAGTCAGCATCTAGCAGAGTAGTAATAGAATTCATATGCATGCGGACGGTAGAGAAAAGTTTGGTGCAACCTCAGGATCTCGGACTTCATCAACAATGCAGGGAGAAGCAAGGTGAAAGACACCAGTTGTGCCAGTGATGGCGGTGACAATGGAATCGTAGTTAAGGAGATCCATTTGGAAAAGCAGGAGATGAGATTTAGCTCCTTCAAAATCTTCCAAATGTTTCGTTTCTTTCTCATCCTCTGAGTAGCATAACAACATTAAGAGCGTGTTTAGCTAGCTCAAAAAAGTAGGGTAACTTTTTCTTAAAAAAAGTTAATTATTTTGAGGATGTTTGGCTAAGCTTAAAAATATAACTGCAGTAAATAAGAAGTTTTAAAACAAACGTTCTTTGTTTTAATTGTGAAAGTAGAAAATAAGTATTATTTATTTTGATACTAACGTAAGAGTTACTTTCAAAGAAATAATTTTCTTTTACTTAAAAATAAGAAAAAGTAAGTATTTGTGAGGACACAAGTTACTTAAAAATAAGTAGAATTAAAGTTTTTAAACTTAGCCAGGCATGCTCTATCAATGCGAATTAGTCACAACGAAGAAGATAACGTCCAAGTATGAGAACAAGAGTATATAACTGAGATCTTTGACAGTGGCATGAACAGTGTATCCACGTTCGAGAAGGAAACGGACCAGCCATGAACCAATGTAGCCGCTGCCTCCTGTTACGCAAACCGCTTCTCCTTCTCTCTTTGCCATTTCACTACCACACA